TCGGAAAAAAATACTTTCGACAAGTTAGAAGAACAAAAAGAAAATAATTTGAACTTTTTGAAACGGAAGATTTTTTCGGAATTTGAGATCCTTCTAGTATTTGAAAACTTTTTTCAAAAACCAATTTTCTAAAGCTAAAATGCGCATATTCGCGATCAACATCAGATTCTGCATCGAATGATGTATAATACATTAGAAAAAAAATCTCACTCTAATTTTGAATTACGTGTACCTTACTTACATAAGACTTTTCACCCATCAGTTTCTAAAAGCATCAGTCTGGTAGCCTTTTTTCCGGCTGATAGTAACCGAAATAAACTCTGAACTAATTGTCAGCATTAGACTTAAAGTCTACTGTCAATGTAGAATGATATCTGAATCCATATAATTGATCATTGCAATCCTGAAGTATTCCAAAAAAAGTGGATTTACTTTTTAAATAGGAATAAGACTTTATCTTATCCCTATTATTAGCGTACACTTCCAGCTTTTTCAACCAGTTTTATATTTTTCTGCATAAGCCGATACCGGAGAATATTTTTCCTGATACGTACGGGCAAAACACAGAGTTTATTCGCAACTGGTTTAACAACAAGTCCTTTGTTTCAGCATTAATGCGTGCAGCTGAGATATTTATTTTTAATTCTAATACTGAATATTCAAGTTGCAATTCGGCCGACTGTTCAGAATCAAATAGTTTGAATTGATTTAAAATTGTTGTGTCATTAACACTAGTGTTAGTAAATCACAATTGTTGTCTTCAACGTGTTTCGCCAGTACATCATAGTCATTCTCATCACAATGACAATAACGTTGCTGTGGCTTAGTTACAGGTTTCTGTAAGACAAAACAAAACAAAAAGAATAATGATAATGAGAGATATTAAAAATACTTTGTACAATTTGTTATTCGACCTGTTAAGGAACAAAAATAATGAAAAAAATGACGAAGTTCATTATTGAACAGTCTGTTCGTCATTCACATGGAATGAAATGTTTTTCTTCCCTTTTGGCATTACAAGCTGGTACAAGCAGAGCGACGCACAAGCGGGTTTGTGGACTTATGAGCTGAGATGAATGATTTGATTTTAAATGTCTTTGATAATTTGATGTTGCCTAGATTTATTAAATTTATCGGGTTTTGTGGATTATATTTGTCAGTTATACGGTATCAAGTATCCAAAACTTGTTATTGTTGTTGTGGTTTAAGTCAAGAATCTCATTATGCCTCGCAAGAGGTTAAAACCACCGCCAGAGTTTTTTAAAAGTCCAACACCTACAAGTCAATCATCAGCAGAAGAAGAAGAGCAAGAAAGTCGTACAAATCCTAGACAAAACTTTGTTTGTCATTTGTGCAACACTAATGCATCAGTTCTGGGCTTCAAATGTAAAGCATGTGTAGAATATTTCCATTTAAAATGTGTTCATGTCAACGATCACGACGAAACAAATTTAACTATTAATGCTGCCTTGTTGAAACAAGAACTATATTGTAATAGTTGTAAGCCGAATTATACTAATAAGTTATTAGTCTCCAGTGTTGAATATAGTCAGACAAGTAGTCCAGCTAATGAACAATGGAAGATGATTAAAAATTTTATGACTAATATTGAGAAAAGGCTGAATGACTTAGAAAAGAATCCGTCTCTAGCACCAGTACTCTCAGTACGACCAGCAGCGATAATCTCTCCTTCAATGCCACCAACCTATGCTCAACAAGTAATAACCAATACGCGGCTGAATCGTTCGAATCATCAGGATTCAAACTAGTCACAACAAATAGTCATTTCACCACGGCCTATTGTGACATCTCAAGCGACAACAAATCCACAGTTAAATCGAAATACAGTTCTGCCAACAAAACATACTGATTTTTCGAGATCATTGATAATATATCCAAAAGTTATAACGAACGCCAACTAGAATACGAAAACTATAATGGAAAATTTTCGATCTGCCACTGAAAATCTACAGATAAAATTTGTTCCTCAATACGCTTATCCTCATCCACGTGAGGGCTTTGTAATACAGTTTACTACGAGAGAAATTCAGCAGCAGATGATGAAAAGCTTTAAAGAAGGACAATGGGATAAAACAACATTCGGTGGTGATTTCAATGTTTATGAGCCAAAAAATAATTTTAGCGTGGTATTGAAAGATGTTCCTAGTGGTATCAACGATGATGCTCTTGTACAAAGTATTTTAGCAGCAAGCCCGAACATAAATTTTTCTCTGAATGTCATACAAGTAAACAGACTAGTCCGAAGGGATGTCTTTCCAGTACCATATACAATATCTGTCCGATTGATAGTAGAAACGGAAGAGCTAAAACAGAGACTCTTGAACTTGAAACATCTATATATTGAAGGTCATCTTTGTGTAATTCAGCAGTATTAGAATCGAATAAAGCCGGTTCAATGTACAAACTGTTGGAAATTTAGTCATGTAGCAACCGCTTGCCGGGTAAAAACGAGATGTAAAATGTGCGGTGGAGAACATTCAGATGAGAATTGCTCATCGAATGATATGACATGTAGCCATTGTAATCTGGCTCATCCAGCTGACTCAGCGTTATGTTCAAAATACTTGGAGGTGGCAGCAAGAATAAAAAATCGTATGTACAACAATGACCAGTGAGTTAAAGAAGTTGAAAGTGTACATTAATAATACCCAAAGAAGTCAAGAGTATAGTAAGATGATTCTTGAGAAAATGATTGAGAATAAGTACGATCTATGTGTTATTAGTGAACCTTATACTCACAAATTTGTCCCACCTCAGTACAATTACATAATTAAAAACACCTATACCTTGTGAACGAGTAACAGTACGGTCAAAAGGATGGTGGTCCCCGCAGATAGCGATGCAAAGAAAGTTGACGAGGAAGTGGCATAGGATTTACAAAACAGTTAGATCACCACCAAATGAAGCTAGATTTCTGTTTGAACAACGTAAATTGGAAGAGATGATTAGAGACGGTAAAGCACATCACATGCCAGTGAAACCAGCTGCCACTCCCGAATTGCATCATATACAATCAATGTTAAGAAATAAAAAATCAACTAACATACCCTATTTATATATTGACGGCTAGAAAAACACAAATGTAACTCAAATGGCTGAGTCTCTGTTGAGTGAATCTGTGAGTCAGAAATCTCAGAAAAAATCGACTCCGTCGATTAATACTATGCAATCAAGAGAAGTGAAAAAGAACGATCACAACAATAGGAATAAAACTGGGTTCTTCCAAAAAGAGAATTTCTTGGAATTGTACGAAATTTAAAACCAACAAAATCAGGAGGACGAAACACTATTCAAATGATAATGATACAAAAGAGCGGTACTCTGTTCTCTGATCTGTTGTTTAATGTGTGTTTCAACTGTTTTAGGCTGGGTTATTATCCAGCTAGACGGAAAACAGCTAAGATTGTACCAGTGGCAAAGAAAAGAAAGAAATTCACACATTCTCCTGAGAACTACCAAAGCCATATGTCTGTTAGATATCTTCGATAAGGTGCTAGAAAAAATCATCATGGAAATGTTGAGTAAAGAATGCTACTGCAAACAAATATTCCATCCACAACAATTTGGCTTCACACGTGGTGTAAGCGCAGAGGATGCCCATTTATATCTCATATATAAAATTCAACAAGCAAAAAAGAAAGGTCTCATTACCACCGCAACATTTGTGGACATCAGAAAGCTTTTGACTCAGTGAATCGAGAGTTGCTAATTTAGAAAATACATCAGTTGAAAATTAGCAAATATAATTGATATCGTTAATGACTTCTGCGTGGAACGAACAGCCTTTGTTAGTCTGAATGGTCATACCAGTTTGATACGGAAAATTGATTATGGGATTCCACAAGGATCAGCCCTGTCACCTGTGCTGTTCAATCTCTATATTCGATCAGTATTAGATGAAACAAAAAATAAACATATTGATATTATTCTATATGCTGACGATATTACAATTATTACATCGAATACAAAAGCCAAAATCAACACCAGAAGAATAAAATCTTATTTAAAAAATTTAGTAGTGATTTTAGAGAAGATAAATTTGGGGTTTCTGGTGGATAAAACGGAAATGATTCACATTCAATCGAACACGAAAAATAAATCATTGACAAATTCTATGACGTTAAACGGGTATACAATTGTGCCGTCAAGAAAAGTAAAATATTTAGGATTGATTATAGATGAATTTCTGACATTTAAACCACATATACAACAAACAGCTAAGAATGGCATACGATACTTCGTATATTTGAAAAATATCCTTCGGAAAAATGGAATGTTAAATGCTAATATGATGTTGCAATTGTATCGAACAATGGTCATACCGAGAACAGATTTATCAGCTTGTGTGTGGGCGAATGTTACAAAAGCGGCATTAAAGCCACTAATGTAATTACAAAAACTGACATTGACAACAGCACTTGGAACCTCCAGGCAGACTGTAGCACTCTCATCTCTAGAAGTATTCTGTAATTTGTTACCTGTATATTTTAGGCTGATGAGGAGACAGATGATTAAAGCAATAACTCTACATTCACG